TCCAAGACGACCCAAGAAGCTCCCAAAAGCGTCTCATGAGAGCCCCAAGAAACAACATCCATTGATCAGTCGTAGGTTTCCTCTACAAGCTGCACCGTTCTGCCCCCCTAGCTTCTCAGCGCTTCGAGGCGGCCCAAGAGGCCCAGGGATCACCCCGAGATAGTTTCAGACGCCCCGACGAAGGTGCCAATGCAGCCCCGGGGTGCCCCCAGACGGCCCGCGAGGCTTCGAGGGCCTCTTAGGCCCCAGGGAGGGGCCTTCCTGTCGAGATTTTCCTGGGCCCTTCCACCGCGGCGCGGGGGCGCTTCCAGAGGGCTGCAATAGCAGTTGCAACGCAGTCGCGCGAGGGAGCGGGGGCGTGACTTGCCTTTTCCATGCTCTTGGGGGCCCATCCAGGGCTTTCTTCGGACCTTCCAGAGCCCTTCCCGGCCCTTCTTGAGTCTCAAGAAGGGCCGGGAGGGCCCCCAGCGCGGCCCTCCAGCGCGGCCTGGGAGGGCTCCCAGAGGGTTTTCGCAGCACTCTACATGAAGACGCGCGAGAGAACGCTCTCGCGTGTCTTACCTATCGCTGCCCCGGAGGGCCCTTTAGAGACCCCCGTCGGCACGTCCTGTGGCACTTCCGGGATCCACTTCGGCCTGCAGCGCTGTCTCGGAGGGCCCCCAGACCGCCCCAATAGCACGGCAATCTGACGCCAGACAGCGCTCGCGCGGCGATGACGACCACGACTATTATGTATTTGAAATAGCGGTTCAGAGGGTTGGTATATAGATAGATAGCGAGCGTAGCTAGTATCTGGTCGGCGTCTGACCCAAGACGCCGGCGCCCTATTTGCTGGGACCGCTAGAAAATCTTGCGGCCCATGAGTGCACCGTAAGCATTATCTGATCAGTCTTCTGGATGGTGCCTCATCTCTCATCTACTTTCCAACCTATTACCACATGGTCCTCATCCTGCTTTTTACTTGGTAGCGGAGCTGGCCTCACTCAGTTGCGGTCAGCTCTGTCTATCGCAATACTTTTCCACGGCGCGGCTTGGTACGCCACCGATGCCACTGCGACGTCAGAGCGTGACTACTGGCAATCAGGTTACGCCCGTAGTGGACGCACTATATCCACTATGGGCGACATCCGCTTGACTACTCCGAAAAGCGCGTGCGCCGCGGCTTGAGGCCACTGTGCCCCAACCTACGATGAGCTTGGGAACGAGATAGCGCGCCAGCTTTCGCGATCAGGAAGCGCAGACCCCATGCTCTTGAACCGGCAATGCTCTTGAACCAGCACGGGGGCGCGCCTCCACAGCCAGTCCTCTTCCGAACGGCGACGGACGCTTCGAGGACGACCAATGAACATGCACAAGGTCTTCATGACATCAGTATTCGAAGTGCGTCACCTATAGCATTCTTTGGTTCGCCATTGTATGTGCTATAGGGCGCATGTAACGCGGCAGCCACAATGACGGAGGCGGTCACGCGACAAGGGGCCCATACTGGGACCCCTCAGGGAACGCATCGCTCGTGGAGTACATGCATGGCTGAACGTTGCAAGCGCCCGCGTGACCCCGCAACGACAGGCCGAATCTCTGCGGCGCGGTCTGGAGGGGTGGCACGCGCGATCGCGATGCGAATCCTTCCCCAGATCATCAACTACGGCGCGGCGATACAAGGAGTCCACGCAGACCCCGCCACATACATAATGTGTCTCCTCAGCGCTAAATTCGAGAGTCTTGTGGGCGAGCTTCAGCTCACCTCCGGGATGGCGCTCATAGACTTCAAGCTCGAGCCAGGTGAGAGAACGGATCCGGCCCTCGCCTGGTTGGAGATGGCCCGTTTTGAGGCTGACTCAGTCGGCTTTGCTATTCCAAATTTTCAGTACTTACAACGGTACTCCTTAGTGGTCTATGGTTCGGCCCTGGCAGGGCTGCCCAAAATCTTCAGCCTCTCGACGGCCAGATGCCGCGGACGCAGCAACAGTGCGATGAACTGGCGGGTCGCGCGCGTAGATTTGGCCGTCTGGCTGACAGCGCCCTTAAAAACATCGGAAACGCGTTGCCGGGGAGCACGAGGCGCGGAAACGCGAACGCACGCATGACAAACGCCAGCGGGGACGCGACCGCGCCCGCCTGCGCGTGGGCTGACGGCCCATGCGGCCCAGAGGAGGCCGCAGCATTATTATCCGCGGCCCTTCAGAGCCAAGGGACTGGCAGAAGCCGCCCGACGTCATCAATGCAACAAGGCTGGGAACTGCCTTCCAATCCCCAATCATACATTGCTCCTGAGAGCCAGACCGCCCTGCGGGGCTCAGCCGCCAGCGGGGGCCCACCTGTCGACTCCGGAACAGATGCCGACGCGTTATCGCCAGATTGAGACGAATGCGCGGATATGTCGGATTTACCCCCCTCCCCATCTCGGTGGCGCGGCAACCGCGGAATGCCTTCCCGGGCTACCAGCGCGCGAAACGTCGTTGGAGACGGCATATCAAGAAGACTGCGCGGCGAGCGCGTGCGGCGGCGCGAGGATTATTCCATCGACGGGGGAAGGGTTGGGGCAAGGGCGGCCGTCGCAACCGGCGGTTGCGCGGCAATGGTTTCGCCGCATTTTGACAGGAATTTACGGGTGCCGACGAGGGTGGGCCCCCCCAGGGAAAAGGTCGGGGTTGACGCCGTGCTACTGGCGAAGGGAGAGGCCGAAAACGTAATCCCGTGGACTGGAACGGGAGGAGGACGCCGTGCAATGGTTGCGGCAGTGACAAGCGTTCTCGGAGTTAGTGCGAGTCCAAGGGGCATGGGGAAGAGAGATGGCGCGGCCCTTCTAACGGCTCACGAAACCGTGGAGGACGTCGAGGGCGTCGGCTGGCTCGACTTTGACCTCCCGTCTCCAGGGGCTCTTCTCATGCGCGTTCACTTTCACCGTGGATTCATAGTCCGGGCGTTTGCCGGCGCGCCCCCCCGACGCCCCGAGCGGCGGTGGCGGAGACGCATCGGCGCGCGACGGGGATGCTTCCGACGCTGAAGCGATCCCGGCCAGCCGCGCGGGCGGAGCTTCGAAGCGGAGGCTTGTTAGGCCCGGCGGAAACGCGCGGCCGAATCGTTCGCGCCGCCGATTGCCGCGGCATTGCGCGGGAACGCGCTAAGGCGGCGAGCGGGATTTACGAGCGACGTTGCGCCGGGCGATCTCGCGGACGTTGGTTGGGGCTTGGCCAGTGCCGACTCCAGCATGGCATGCTTCGCGCCTCGGGGCCGCTCTCGCGGCCCTGCGGGCGCGCCGTCTAGCTGGGGCGGCCCGCGCAGACCTCCCATGTCTCGCCCCTCGGGCCCCCCCATTCCAGGCCCCCGGGGGGGGGGGGGGGCTCCCCGAGCAGGAAAAGAAGGAGGTTGGAAAATGAAGTGCTTTAGACACCCTGCGCCCAGAGGGCTGGTGGGATTCATGCCGCCCCAGCCGAGCCGGCATCCGCCCCGCGCTGCCGCCGTTTGGCTATATATATATATATATATATATACACGCGCGATCGTTTATGACCAATCATCCGTTGTCAATACTCTTTTAGAGCAAATGAGACGAAGTGCGCGCGCGCTCGTCGTCGCGCGCATGCTGGCATCTCGCATGATTCAACATATTTGTACAGACGCATGTGCATATCCACGTAATGTCGACTAAACGCTCACACCAGGTATGCGTATTTACGGTGATACGATACTCACACTTTAACACGCGTAGTCAATCTATTGTTGAAACATCTGCATCAATATGTATCGGTTCGGGTGGGCCTTCTTCACCAGCATCCATGAGGTGATGTTGGATGTATGGGGTTACCAGGTTAGTGGCCTAAAGTGTGTGTGTGTGTGTGTGCGTGTGTGTGTGTGTGTGTGTGTGTGTGTTCAGTTTTTTTTTGTCTCGGGTGGTCTGACAGCCTCACAGGTTTCCGATGTTTTGTTCTCATCGTCGAACATTCCGATGATTCAGAGGCTAATCTGCACCAGACTGCTGCTGGCGTTTCAACCCATTCGAGTCCATTTTCTCCTCGTTTCGTCGGCTGCTCCACCTTGACTTTGCAGCGCATCATGCTTTGTTCATCAATCTGCATTGCGGGGATTGGGCTTGTTCATCATGGCGCGTTCGATCGAGCCCGTTCGCAATTGGCATTTCCACTTGCCGACCGCCCCCCTTTGCGTCGCCGGTTTACAATGTGTGTGGGTGTGTGTGGGGGGGGGGCATGAGTAGCCGCGGCGTCGTGAGGTTCAATGTGGAGGACCGGTCGGTCCTCCTTTTACCGATGGGCCGCACCGTTGGCTATTACCATATTGCCCCCTCAGCACAACGCCCGTGCAGATCCGGCGGATCCAAAGTCCCAGCTGCGTGTGTATGGGGGGTGAGGGGGTGGCCTTTTTGAGCGGGGAAACGAACGTGCAATCGCAGTGGCTCGCGCGAGTGAAGAAAGCAACTGGCAATGGAAATGGGTATCCAAATCGGAAATTCTGGATTTCTTTCCTGAGTCCGCTCAAGCGTGAGGGGGCGGGGGGGGAAGGGAGGACGCAAAGGGAATGAGGGCGACAACGATGCTGATAACGTCGACGTCAACGACGACGGTGGTGATGTTGATGGTGATTATGATGGCCATGGTGATGTTGATGCTGGCGTCGATGATGATGCTGATGTTGGTGATGATACTGATGTTGATGTTGGTGATTGTGCTTCTGAATAAGAAAAGGGGTCTTATCGATAAGTGCACGAATGACACAAATCATGTTGATCATACTAATAGCAGGAAGAGGGAACGAACACGAGTTACCGCAGGGGGGGATAGAAGGAAGAGGAGGAGGTGGAGGAGGACGAGGATGAGGAGGAGGAGGACGAGGAGGTGGAGGAGGAGGAGGAAGAGGGGGGGAGGAAACGGAAGGAGAGAGAAGCTGGGAGGGGGAGGGGAGGGTGAGATGGGTGGAGGCGAGGTGCAGAGATGCTCGTATTGTTTGGGGGGGACCGCGATATCGACCGCCATTGTCCCGAGGACGCGTGCGCCGAAGCCCATGTGACCGAGCTGCCCGCGGAGGAGTCTGCAAGGCTGCTGCCCAGGCTGGAGGCACAGCAGCTCCCTTGCAGTAAGAGTTTTTTTGTTGCGCTCGCTGGGGGCGATGAGCGAGGGGCGGGGATGAAGAGGAGGAATCAGATGAGTTATGTATCGAAGACGCCCACACCGAATCACAGCCGCCCCCTTCCTTTTAGGATCCGCTTGCTTGGCCAAACGTTTTTGGGCAAACTTTTGCCACGTTTCGGACCATGCGTTCCCACAGCCGTTGTGGAAGCCCTTCGGGGAACCCGTAGGGGAGGAAGGGGAGGAGGAGAGGGAGGACACCGCAGGATGAGGAGACTTCTTATGATTTTCTTGGGTCATTCTCGGTGCATCCTGGGAGCTTCCTGGGAGCATCTCGGAGGCCTCTTGGGGGTGTGGGGCCTCTTTACCCATAGAGGCCTCCTGGGCCTTCTTGGGGCCGTCTTGGAGGCCTTGCAGTCCTTTCTTTGGCCATCTTGGAGGCTTCTTGTGGGCGATCTTGGGGGGCTCTGGGACCGTCTCAGGCATGCCGAAGAGAAGCAAATGCCCCACTCTTCCAAAAACCTAGGAATCAACCGATTATGGCCTCTTCGGGTTTTCCTCAGAGGACCTCTGAGGCCTTTCGGGTCGTCGTGGAGGCCTCTTTGAGGCCTCTGGGGCTGTCTTGGGCCACCTGGGGGCCGTCTTGGGCCGTCTTGGGTGCATCTTGGGGCCATCTTGGGATCACTTGGGGCCATCCGGCCGTCTGGGAGGCAATCTTGGGGGCGTCTTGGACGCCTCTTGGGTCGTCTTGGGGCCTTCTTGGGGCTGTTTTGGAGGACCTCTTGGGCCGTTATGGAGCCATCTTGGAGGCTTTGTGGGCGATCTTGTGGGGTTCTTGGGGGGCTCTTGGGGGGCTCTTGGGCCGTCTTGGGCCTCCGGGAGGCCGAACAGAAGCAAATGTCAACATCGTTACGCACCTACAGAAATCCATGATTCTAGCTTGGTCGGGCCTTCCTGGAGGACCTCTTAGAGGCCTCGTGGGCCATCGTGGAGGCCTCTGCGGGGCCTCTTGGTCTGTCGTGGGTCATGCTGAGGCTGTCTTGGGGCGTCTTGAATGTATCTTGGGCCGTCTTGGGTGCATCTTGTGGCCATCTTGGGATCTCTTGGGGCCATAGTGGGAGCTTTTTGGTGGCATCTTGGAGGCCATTTTGGGCCGTATCGGAGGCAATCTTGGGCGTCTTGGAAGCCTGTTGGGTCGTCTTGGGGCCCTCTTGGGGCTGCTTTGGGGTGTCTCTTGGGCCGTTTTGGGGCCTTCTTGGAGACTTCGTGGGCGGTCTTTGGGCGATTTTGCGGGGATCTTTGGCCGTCTTGGGCCGTCGGAGGGCCGAACAGAAGCAAATGCCAACATTCTTCGAAAACCATCGGAATCAACTGATGTTGACCGCTTCGGGCTTTCCTGGAGGACCACTTGGAGGCCTCTTGGGCCATCGTGGAGGCCTCTTGGGGGCCTGTTGGGCTGTCTTGGGCCATCTTGAGGCCGTCTTGGGGCGTCTTGGGTGCATCTTGGGCCGCCTTGTTGGGACCTCTTGGGACCATCTTGGCCATCTTGGAGGCATCTTGGAGGCCATATCGGGCCATCTTGGCCGTCTTGGAAGCCATCGTTGGCCGTCTTGGGAGAATTCCTTGTGCACGTTGAGGAGCCTGTGCGGCTTTCGCGGTGGCCAGCGCGCTGGGCCGAAGCCCCGAAGGGGAGTTTAAAACATATAACCAACAACAATTCAGCACGCCAGGCATCTCTGTGATAAATCAAGATGGGTCGGCTGATCTACTGGTCTTCGCCCCATCTAGCCACAATGCCTGGATGGCAGGTCAGAGGGCTCCCGGATGCACATTGGGGTATCCTGCCTCTCGGGGGCCTCTTGGAGGGCTCTTGGGGGCTCCTTGGGGGACCCCCGTGGGGCCTCCTGGAGACCTCCTGCGGCTTCCTGGGGGGGCCTTGGGGACCTCTGGGGGGATTTGGGGGCCATCTTGGCGTGTAGGGCTCAACACGTGCTTTCGTTATGTCCCCCTCGTACCCTTCTTCGGGGCCTTTTGGGGACCTCCTGGTCTGGGGGCCTTCTTGAGCCACCTTGGGGCGGTCTTCGGGGCCTCCTGGGTCGCCTTGAGAAACGCTGGACGCCAGACATCGCGAGAGTGCTAAACTCCTTCAGCAAAGATGTTCAGGATGATCAATCGCCGACTGCCCAAATCAAAGCACGGTTTAATTGACCGTCGAACGTCTTTGTGTTCCTCTCGGGACCCTCCTGAGGGGTCTCCTGGGGCCCACTTGGGGGTCTCTTGGGCCGTCTTGAGACCATGTTGGGCTGTCTTGTGGCGGTCTTGAGCCGTCTCTGGGACCTCTTGGACCGTCCTCTTGAGGCACTCTTGGCCCGTCTTCGGGCCCCCTGGCCCGTGGAAGAGTCATGCGGGAAGCCCCGCGAGTCAACGCGGGAACGCCCAAGACATCCGTGAGCAGGGGTTCGATTATTGATGATTGAGGACTCCTAGAGGATCTCGGGACATTGAACTCAGTGCCTCGCGGCACGCTGGTGGACAAGGAGCAGGGATGGACGAGGAGGAGGATGCGGAGGAGGAGGAGGAGGAGAGGAGGAGGCGGAGGAGGAGGAGGAGGAGGAGGAGGAGGAGGAGGAGGAGGAGGATAGAGGAGGACAGGGGAGGACACAGGAGGAGGGACCTGGGCTCTCCAGTTTGAGGGGGGCCGTCGCGAGGTGGTGTGGAGCCTGGGGCGGCTGCACCCTTGGGGGCGCCCGCGGATAGCAGGGGGCCTGCACCGGTTGGCGTCGACGCCAGAGGGGGGGCCTTTGCCCCTCCGCCTCCGCCAGAGCGGGGCGAGGGCCGCGAGGGGGAGAGAGCAGGGAGAGGGGAGGAGGGACGGAGCATGGCAGGACCTGGGGGTGTGCACGCACGGGGAGGGGGCATGCGAGAGGGCGGGAGGGGGCGAGGGGGCGGGGGGCTGGGGGCAGGGGGCTTGCGCTGCTGCGCAGGTCTTCTGTTCGTGGCTCTTTGCGCGATCCTCTTCTTCTTCCTCTCCTCTTCCTCTCCACTTCCTCTCCTCTTCCTCTCCACTTCCTCTCCCCCTCTCCTCTTCCTCTCCTGTGCCCTCCCTCTCCGCTCCTCTTCCCTCCCTCTCCTCTCCTCTTCCTCTTCCCCTCCCTCCCAGCCATTTCTGCTCCACCGCTCCCCTGTTCCGTGTCCGAGCTGCAATTCGGGCCTCTTCGCAGAAGCCTGGAAGAGTTCTTGCCACCAGCCTTGGCAGCGCGAGGCGCTCGTTGACCACGTCAGCGACCTCGCCGCCTACGACACGGTTTGGGACGTCCGTGACACGGCGCGCTTGCGCCGCTCGCCGGTGGCGGCTTTGCGGCAGTCTGTCAGCAGACATCACGGATGATGGCGAACATTGCGGAGGACGCTAATCATATGTCACCCCAGTCCTGGCTGGGCAAATCTTGGGCCCACAATCGGTGTGTGTGTGTGTTTGTGTGTGTGTGCGTGTGCGTGTGTGTGTGTGTGTGTGTGTGTGTGTGTGTGTGTGTGTGTGTGTGTGTGTGTGTGCGTGCGTGTGTCTTCCTGGCCAAGCTGGGGGGGCGTACGCACTGATCCCGTACCCAGAATGGAAGTGGCCAGGACTGGCGTGGTGTACAACTGGCGTCCCCCCTTCATACCAATTCGTAAGGAGCGTGCCTGTCTTCGCGTTGGCTCAGAGGTCTTACGCGTGCGTTCGCACAGGCATGCGCTCATTCACGCGTGCGCAAGCGATTTAGACTTCCATTCAGAGCATTCGAATATCTGAGTACACGTGTGCTATTCGCGTACACGATTGGGCATACAAGTTACATGGTCATACGCACACTCCAACGTACGTGTGTGCGCTTGTCATCCCATTCGGAATGATAGTTATCAGTGGTAGCAAGTTGTTTGACACCTCGTGCTGACGGCATGTCGCGAAAGCTTTTCGTTGCGCTAGTATGCAGTGTTGTGTTTCAGCGAGGTTCCTGCACGTATTCGTGCGATGTGTTATGGGTCCCCATAAGTTATCGACACGGTCCACGACGCCCCGCTGATGTTATTGCATCCTTGGTCACTATTTCGCCGAAGCATGGTTGCACGGGTTCTCGCGAGGTTACACATTCAGGTTGTCCGAAACCCGTTTGAAAGTGTCCACACAAGCTCCGCGCGTTTGCAGACATTCCGTTGAGGCCGACTATGGGGCCCACCTGCAGTTCTGTTTTGGATGCTTAAGAGGTCAGATGCGACGAGTCGGTCCAGCCCCTCCAAGGCACAAAAGTCAGCTAGAGCGTGATCTGTGGACGCTTGGAAGAGGGGGTTGGTTAGTTCGAAATGGGGCCTCCTCCCTTCCTGAATTGCAAGGAGGGAGGGTCAAACTGGGGGGGGTCACCCCTCCATCAACGGAGGGGGGGGGGTCGAACCGCCCCCCCCCCTCTCCCCCTCTGAATAGCACCAGGCGGGTGGGTGGAGTGCGTGCGCACCCGCTTGTTTCCCAATATTTGTATAAGGAACCTTGAAAAAGCAAGCGGCTGACCTCTGGGCCCCCTTGACTGTTCACCCGATGGTAGTTCCGCAATGTTCGAAACAATGCTAGGTTAGGTCGGGCCCGTCCCTCTACAGGAGGGAAATCCAAAAATCGCCCACAAATAGTCATGGGGACCATTTTGGGAGTATGTTTGGGGCATCTCTGGAGTATTTTTTGGGGTCTTTTTTGCCTTTCGTCCACAGTCCCCCTGGAGGAGGAGGAGGAGGAGGAGGAGGAGGAGGAGGAGGAGGAGGAGGAGGAGGAGGGGGAGGAGAGGGGGAGGAGGAGGAGGAGGAGGAGGAGGAGGAGGAGGAGGAGGAGGAGGAGGAGGAGGTAGGGGGGACAGGCCCGACGTGCTGCTCGTGCCCCCCTTGCCCTCCGAGTCCTGCTGCCCCCCCAGCAGCTGCTCCCGCGGCGACCTCGGGGCGCCCGGCTCCTCGGTCCCGCGGCCCGGCTCCTCGGCCCCGCGCGCCCTGCTCCTCGGCCCGCTCCACTCAGGAGGGGAAAAAACACACAGACACAATTATTCGTCGATTCCCTGAAAATGCGGGAAAATATGGGAAGGGGGGGGAAGACAAAAACCCAGAAAATATGGGATAATCTAGGGAATTATTTTATTTGTGTGTATTTATGTGTGTGTGTATGTCCTGGGGCCCCTTCATCCACGCGGTCCTCCAGCCCGCGCAGCGCCGCCTCCAGCCTCCGCCCGACTCAATGCTAGGGTTCAGTCGGGCCTGTCCCCTTAACAGGGGGATCTTCGACGAAAAATACAGAATATACCCTAAGAGTAATCAAAAAGTAGTCCAAAACTAGTCTGGGTTTTTTTAACAGTTTTTTTGGGGGGGGACCTTTTTGGAGGTATTTTCGGAGTATTGTTAATTTTCCGTCGAAAATCCCCCTGTAGGGGGACACGCCCGACTTGTTGCTAGGGTGACCCTCCAGCGGGGTCCAGCGGTCGCCCACCCGGTCCGCGGCCTTCGGGAGGCTCCGGCCGGAGGCTCGGCCCCAGGCCTCCCGAGCATGGGGTCCAGTCGGGCCTGTCTCTCGTCGGGAAAGCGTAAGACCCGGGTTTGCCAGGACTCGGGTTCGCCATCGTTTTTTGACGACCGCGCCTCGGATTTTGACGAGGAGGAGTTTCGTGGGATGTCTGCAGCGGGAGGCCTCGTCAAAATGCAGGCTCGGCCTCGTCATTTTTTTGACGACCTCGTCGGGGATTTCCGAGTCCCCTGTACCCAGGTCTTACGTCTCCCTGATGCAGGAGGGATGGTCAGAAATGAACAAGAAATAGTCCGGGGACTGTTTTTCGATCATTTTTTGTTGGGTAATTTTGGGGTATTTTTTTTTGTTTCTTTTTTGCATTTTTCCTCGACGGTCGGCCTGTGTGGGGACAGGCCCGGCCTAAGTGCAGGGAAACGAGCTGGTCACCATTGAAGGGGTCGCCCGCTTGTTTCCCAACATCCGGGAGGCCGAGGCGTGGCCCCGAGCCTCCCGAGCATCGGGAGCCAAGCGGGTGACCATTCAAGGGGGGTCTGGTGGTCACCCGTTTGCTTGGTCTTGGGCTTCCCGAGCCTCGGGAAACAAGGCGGTGACCGTTGAAGGGGGTCAGCCGCTTGTTTCCCAGTATTCGGGAGTCCCAGGAGGCCCAGGCTTGGCCCTGGTCTTCTCGAGTGTCGGGCAGCAATCTAGTGACCACTCAGAGGGGGCCAGCGGTCACCCGCCTGTTGCCCAGTACTCGGGAGTCCCAGGCTTGATCCTGGGCCTCCGGAGTAGTGGTAAGCAAGCTGGTGGCCAGTTCGGGGGGTCCAGCGGGCACCCGCTTGTTTCCCAATGTTCGGGGGGCCTTCGCTTGGCCCTGGGCGTTCCGAATATCGGGAAGCAAGCTGGCGACCATTTGAGGGGGTTCATCGGTCACCCGCTTGTTTCCCAAAATTCGGGATTGGGGCGATATTGGGGCGATATTGGTATCCAAGCAGATGCTCACCTGCCGTCTTGGGTGGTTCGAACCGAAAGGGGGCCCCTCTCCCCCTGCACCCGACGACCGCGAGCGCTGGCGCCAGCGCCGGCGCTGCTGTCGGGCAGCGACGACGATGACGACGATGATGACGATCAAGCCTTAGTGGAGTAATATTAAGGATGGATCGAGCTCAGATTCTTTCATTCTGTTCGACGACGATGACGACGATGATGATGATCGAGCCTTAGTGGAATGCTATTTGGGCGAGCCACGAGATTTTATCATTCTACTCGAGCCAGAGCGAGCCTTCGCAGGATCCAATCGGAGCTTGGTCTGGCTATAGTTCGTTTCTTCGAGGCTTAGCACGACTCAACCAGAGCTGGATCCAGCTATGGTAGGGTTTTACTAGTGATAAGCCGGGCCTGTTCCTCTGCAGGAGGAATATGCAAAAATAGCAAAAAATAGTCTGGGAGCGATTTCTGTTGAATTTTCTAACGAATGTTGAGTATTTGTAGGCTTTTTTCAATTTGTCTTTCAAAATCCGCCGGTAGGGGGACATGCCCGACCTAAGATTAGTGTTAGACCGAGCCTGGCTAGGATGCTACTGAGGTTGGTCCAGCTACAACGAGATCATATCAGGGCTTGACCGGACATTCGAAGGATTACACGAGGGCTGGATCTAGGCTGCAGTCGGAATCTCGTAAAGTTGGATCGAGCCAGAAAACGCGCTGCTAGTAAGTCTGGATCCAATGGTTATCTTGGCATCGCTTGGACGTGTGCACTTTTCCTTCGGCGAGGACCATCGAGGAGCATCCTTGATCATCTGGCGAACATCTACGCACGCAACTGAAAAAAAACAGAGAATGGACGTCCGAGCGATGGCCAGTTATGGGACTCCATGAGGGCTTGTTCGAGTACTAGTCGGGTTCTGCTGGAGGAAGGGGGGGGCCCTCCTCGACGGTGTTCCAGGCGCTCTCCATGTTTTTTTTGGGGGGGGGGGGCCTTCCTGGCCCCGACGTGTCGAAGTATTTGTTCAAGGCAGGCGTCCACGCAAAGCGCTGTCTCAAAAGTCACGGCCTCGAGAAGGCACCCAAGCATTCGGATCTTTGTCTCTCGATGCCTCGGTGCCGTGATGGGTTCTGTGTTAATTTTGGCGTTTCTGATTGCCGAGTCCGAGGCGTCCCGACTCATCCATTGTTTTTTGCGCCGCAATTACTGAATGGATGGGGGAGCGCATGGAGTTTCCCCCGCAGTGCTCCACATAATCTTGGCTTCTGTCGAGCAAAATTGGCGCGACGGGCTGTGAAAGATGATCCCCCCAAATGACAACGCCATTGTCGTTGTCTAGGGATCCTTGTGCTTGTTCGCCACTACACGCCCGGACGCAGAAATTACGGCGTCAGATTTGTCACAAGCGTGGGTCCAACGGCTTAGATTAGACATGGGTGTCTTGTCACATCTCAGCATGGGCATAGGAGGCCACGAGAAGTGCACCATGCAACTAGACGAGGGAAACGACATAGCAATGGCCGTAGCAATGGTGAGGCGGAATCATATTCCTTGAAGATGACCGTCAGTTTCTTCACGGCTATCTCCCAGTTTTCGGATACCTCCTTTCCGAAACAAAAGCGCAATGCATGCATTACACGTGCGAGGTAAACCAACGCAACACGCACGCACCACATAAGTGGTTTGCAATGCAGGGACGCAAACCAATACACACATGCGTATCGCCTACACTCAGTTCAGGTCAATGCACAGCGAATCAACACAGCAACATATCAGTCCCAAGGAATGAAATGCAGTGCATTGCGATGCAGTGCATAGTAGGGCCGAGTAAAGCCTGTCCATGCAAAGCAACGCCGTAGCGCGTGCGAGTTTGCGGATGTGTTTTCTAAAATCACGTTTTCAGTCTTCTCTAAATTTCCGCAGCTTGTGCAGCTTCCATGGAGCCTGAAATGCAGCCTGTCGTCAATCGAAGGGGAACACCAAATCGAAGTTCAAGAGTTCTGTAGTTGATCGTCAGTCGTCGAATCGTCGTCTACGTTCTACAGTTTGTCGTCAATCGAATGGGAACACCAAATCGAAGTTCAATAGTTCTGTAGTTGATCGTCAGTCGTCGAATCGTCGTCTACGTTCTACAGTTTGTCGTCAATCGAAGGGGAACACCAAATCGAAGTTCAATAGTTCTGTAGTTGATCGTCAGTCGTCGAATCGTCGTCTACGTTCTACAGTTTGTCGTCAATCGAAGGGGAACACGGAATTCATTTCGACCCCTTGTTTCACTGCGTGCATACCTGTCTCCGAAGCCACGAGACGACCGGCACCGCCCTCGGAACCCGTGAACCTCCGAGCCCGGTCCTCCGCATCAAGATGCGACGGCCTCCTGCGAAGTTCCCCCTCCTCCTCCTCCTCCTCCTCCTCCTCCTCCTCCTCCTCCTCCCTCCTCCTCCTCCTCTCCTCCTCCTCCCTCCCTCCTCCTCCTCCTCCTTCTCCTCCTCCTCCTCCTCCTCCTCCTTCTCCTCCCTCCTCCTCCTCCTCCTCCTCCTCCTCTGGACGGCGACACGAGGCTCCGAGGCGGGAATTTCTACACGACCACCGCCTGGAGGATCAATTTCGGGGATCTCGGCAGGCGGTGGATATGGACATATTCGGACCCCCGGGGGCCAACATATATCCATATCCACCGCCCGCTGCGGCACGAGGACGTCGGTTCCCAGGCGGCGGGTACGGATAAGTCCCCGCCTCGCAGAGACCCCCTGCGTCGGAGCAGTCTCGAATGACCGCGTGACCTCTCTCCTCGTTTCGTGCTGCCTGCTGTCTGACGGGCAGGGTCGGGCGACGAGCGCGGCCGCAGGCGTCCCGCAGAGGCTCCCGACTCAGTCGGGCACCTCGGGGAGCTGCGCGATACGCCGCGCCGCCAGCGCCGCGAATACGGAAACGTCTCGTTTCGTTCTGCGTGCGCTGTGCTTTGGCATCGCTCGGACGTGTGCATTTTTCCTTCGGCGAGGACCATCGAGGAGCATCCTTGATCATTTGGCGAAAGAACCACGCACGAAGCCGAAACAAACACAGGGAATGGACGTCCGAACGATGGCCAGGTGCCTGCGGGAGCGGGAGCTGGCCTGGGAGCCGGGTCGCAGGGCAAGCGCGGAGCTCGTGGCAGGAAGGCGGGGCAGCAGCGGGGACAGGCGCTCGAGCGGGAGCAGGCGCAGGAGCAGGCGCGGCAGCAGCAGGAGGGGAAAGACCTGCACACAGACACAAGTCGTCGTCGATCCCCCGGGAGATGTGGGAAGAGGTGGGACGGGAAGGGGGGGAAGACAGAGGCCCAGGAAATATGGGGGGAAGTATGGGGAACCCTGCTATTTTTTTTTTTTTTTTTTTTGTGTATGTGTGTGTGTGTGTGTGTGTGTGTGTGTGTGTGCATTCATTTGCGTGTCCCAGGGCCCCCTCAAAGCAACGAGGAGGAGCACCGCCGCGGGCACGTCGTGGCCTCGCGGGCACAGCGGCGACGGCTGCCGCGCCAGGCGCGGGCCCTGAGGCAGCTGAAGCAGGGGGCCAAGGCAGTCCGCTCCCTGCTGCTGCTGCCCCTCCTCCCCCCTCCTCCTCCCCCTCCTCCTCCCCCTCCTCCTCGTCCTCCTCCTCCTCCTCCTCCTCCTCCTCCTCCTCCTCCTCCTCCTCCTCCTCCTCTTGCCCCTCGACCAAGCCAAGGCTTGACATCCGTCTGTCACACCCATGCCACTTCCGTCACCACGCCAGCGTGCGTGGGTGGCGCCAGCAGCCGCTTACGCCACCGACGCCGCTGACGGACGTGGGTGGCGCTTGACTGCCGCTTGCGCCACCATCCGCGGGGGCAGATGGGCGGCGCTCTCCAAAACCTTGCCCCGAGGTAGCCTCGCTGGCACGCAACACCTCCAAGGCGATTAGTGGCTGCACAATGTGGCGCCATTGCTTATTCACACAGAATCGCCATTTGGCGATATTCGACAGCACACGAACGCCCCAGGAGCCGTGAGGTTGCGGTCCTGGGCAGACATTCGAGAGCCTGGCCGAGACGACCGCCCCACCCGCCCCACACAGCACACGCACCACAGCCCCCCCACAAGTTGGAATGCGTGCGAGACGTGCTGCCTGCCGCCAACAGACACCGTGCGCACATGGGCCAGGTCGGCTCTCGAAAGCGCGGGCGGTGTGCTGGTGGGTGGCGCAGACAGGGCTAGGGCGGGCGCCGCCTTCTGACGCGACAGCTTCGCACAGCTGGCAGCTTTCTTTGATATATGAAAACGCATCGAGGTCGGCCATGGGCGGTCCGATCTTGGCCGCCCACGAGGCCCATGCACTGAGAACTTTGGCCTTCTGCTTGGTGGCCTTCCTGACGTCTTCGGGGACCCTCAACCCACAGCACTGCCATTGCGCCCAGTCATCAGCGAGATCATTCCCCGCCTTCAACCAGGCCGTCGTGCGCCCGTTCTGCGCCGCAGCGCGAGTGCAGTGCGAGCGCACCTTGACAGCGCGCGCGTGCTCAATCCCCCCAGTCCTCCACCCGCCCCCAGACTTGAGTCCAGATCTCCGCCCAAGCGGAGCGAGAGGACATGCAGAAAACACGTCCGCGCATATACAGGCCATCATGCACGAACGCGCTGTCGGTGCACAGCGTGAACCCAGGCATGGCATGCTGTAGCGCACGAAGCACGGCCGCGAGTTCGGCAGCATCGATGTCGATTGTGTCGAAAACGAACTTGCCGCAACACATTGAAAGCGTGCGATCTGACCCGGGATGGGCCGCAACGATGGCCCAAGCCGCGGCTTGCGACCGCATCGGGAGACGCCGATCCATCCAAGAGCCGCCCAAACATATACGCCCTTGCATCTCCGCAGGTCCACCCCCGAACCAGCGAGAGGGCGGGCGAGGCGAGGCGGGCAGAGAGGGGAGAGGAACGAGGAGCCTCTCAGCGAACAGCGAGTAATGGGGGTCGATGGAGGCACGCACAAGGGTAGCGGCAAAGTCGGGCGGCCGCGGATCGGGGTGCATCCCCCCATGCACGCCGCAGGCGGCATGGCGATGCAGGAGCGTGCCTGGGGCCTCCTGGCACAGCTGACATACCTCGTCCGGCGCGAGACCCGCCCCCCCAGTTGTCTGCGCTGCGGCCACTGGCCACCAGCCGCGACTGAGCGCAAATATCCTTTCTCCTGAGGCGTGAGAGAGGCGCTCTGAGGGAGCGCGCGAAGGGGGCCGATGTGCGCGCCATTCGCCAGCTCAGGCACGCACTCACGCTCGGCGACCTTGCTCCACAGCCAGCGCTCGATCACATGCGCAAGCCCCATGCGCACAGTTCGAGGCGACTGCGCCGAGAGATCAACCGAGCCAAGGTATTCGTGACTCCGTTTAAACCCTAAACGTTTGGCGGCGGCTGCGCACGCCGCGAAAGGGCCGCGGGCCGCCGCCAAAGGACCCCCATGGCCCCGAAGCGCAGCCCGCGCAGAAACAACCCCTTGGAGCAGGATTTTCCCCGGCAGAAGCTCGTCCCACACGGCCGCGGCAAAACTAACTGAAGGACCCAGCTGCAGACGGTAGGCGGGGCCACGCAAACGAATTGGCGACAACTAATAATGAGCGACGCATTTTCCGCTGCAAGACTGAAGCTCTGCACGCGGGCTGGCTGGGCCCTGGCTTCGCGCAGCGCGGAGCTGCTGGTGCCGCGCGCAGCGCCCCCATACTTCGAGGAGGTTCGTGCAGCGGCCTGCAGCGTAGCGTGCAACCGTGGAGCGGCCCCAGAGCTTCGAGGCGCAGCGCCGGCGTCGTGGCATCTGCGCGCAGTGCCACGACCGCCCGCGCGGCGCCGCCCTGGCAACTATGCCGCGCTAGAGGGGGAGGGGGGGGGGGAAACGAGGCGCGCGCGCGGAGTTGTACCTCGACCCGGGGGCGCGCGAAGCATTCCTGGGCTTAACGAGGAAACGTCGCGCACATGTGTTGCGAGCGGTTCCTGGACTTCCATGCTGATCGCGCATGCCGCCGTCGAGGCCGCGGTCATCGAGCGCGACGCCGATCTCATGGCCAAAGAAGAGGTGTGCAGGCTGGCCAGGGGGGTGCCCGCAGCCATCGTCGAGGAGCTCGCCACCCGGGCCATGTTCGCACGTTTGGAACGGCCGCCACTCAAGGGCGCCCGCAAACGCCATGGGCCCCAGGCGCGTGTTCAAGTGGAAGCACTGGAAGAACCCCGACGGAAGGGCCGCGCAGATCATCCGGCGCCGCGCGGCGCCCAGGGCCATCCGCGACTTGGGCGCCAGCGTTTTGGAGACGTTTGCGGAGGCAACAAAGCGCGCTTCGCAGCGCGCGCTGTCCTCGGAGGCGGAGCGCCGCCCAGACTGGGATCACGTCGCCGCGGGCGTCGAGACGGCGCTCATGCGGGGCGTGACTCATGCCGAGGTGCAGGCGTAGAGTGAAGCGCCATGCGGGGTGAACTTCGCCCTGCCGCACGACAGCGCAGTTATCCTCGGGCAGGCGCCCGGCTGCGAGCCCCCCGATGAGAGCTCACCATCCGGGCCATGTTCGCACGTTTGGAACGGCCGCCACTCAAGGGCGCCCGCAAACGCCATGGGCCCCAGGCGCGCGTTCAAGTGGAAGCATTGGAAGAACCCCGACGGAAGGGCCGCGCAGATCATCCGGCGCCGCGCGGCGCCCAGGGCCATCCGCGACTTGGGCGCCAGCGTTTTGGAGACGTTTGCGGAGGCAACAAAGCGCGCTTCGCAGCGCGCGCTGTCCTCGGAGGCGGAGCGCCGCCCAGACTGGGATCACGTCGCCGCCGGCGTCGAGAATGCGCTCATGCGGGGCGTGACTCATGCCGAGGTGCAGGCATAAAGTGAAGCGCCATGCGGGGTGAACTTCGCCCTGCCGCGCGACAGCGCAGTTATCCTCGGGCAGGCGCCCGGCTGCGAGTCCCCCGATGAGAGGGCCGAGCGCCTGCGCTGCATCAAGCTGGGCACGGGCTGGAAGGGCGCGCCCCTAGCTTTCTGCAGGGAGCTCGCCCGGGTTATGCGCCCACCAGAATGCATCGCCAAACCCATCAGGTGGGGCCAGGAGCTCGAGGTCAAGCATGAGGCGTCCAGCAACTGCGTTGCTGGCGGCTCAACTTGTGCTCGCGTTTTCCATGCGCGCCGGTGATGCGTAGGTCGCTGGGCGAAAGGGGCACGTCGACAAGCTCGTCGGCCGCGTCGTGGACGTCTTCGGCCAGAGGATTGGGGGCTGCGACAACTGCTCCTACTGCGGTGCCCACCAACGCCGCTGCGCCGATGGCGCCGCGGCACTCGGCCAGGACGAGCGCGTCGACTCCCTGATGCCGATGGGGCGCGACGAACTGGTCAGAGCGAACGCCGACGAGCCCACGGGAGGTCAGCTGCCCGACTTCTTCGTCTCCTTGCTGCGAGCAGCTACTTAACGCCCGCCTCACCCAGCGCCGCGTCGCAGCGTGCGAGGTGGCACTGCAGCGGGCAAAGAACGCGCTGCTTATACGACGCGGTATGCAGCTCAATCATGTTGTCCTCGCCGCGCAGAGGGTCAAGGCGCGCGCCGCCTTCCCTGCCGTGAAAGGCGCTGGCCAGATCCGCGCGCGCTGCAAGGGGTCCCTCAAGAGGGAGGTAGACGGGGTACGGCATGAGGGGCATCGTTTTCGCGCGCCTCAGCAAGTGCCGCAGTGTCGGCAGGAGGGCCTGCCACTTGTCCGACGCCGTGTGCCGTTCACGCAATTTTGCGCACAGGTTTTCGTTGGGTTCCGAGCTGCCCGCAGCACGCGGTGCAGCTGATTGGTTGCCAGCCTACCCCGTCGCGCTCCGCGCGATGATCGGGCTCCGAGTCTCAGCAGAGGAGATCAGGAAAATGGGAGAGGAAGGAGGCTACGCCGCGCCGGCAACCCTGGTCGTGGACGGGATGTTTGTTTCGTTTTCGCGGCCATCGCCATGGACCTTGCGCGTCCTCCCTCGGAGTGCAGCATGGCTGGCCACCTGCGCGGTGGCTCTCCGACTCTCCGCACTAATCAGATTACTCACGTGCTCTGGTGCGAGACCCGTGATATGAGGACCGAACCTCATGACGAAGTGGATCGTCGGCTGGGAGGTGATATTGGACGCGATGTGCGGGGGGCTCAAGTGCGACCGCGCCACGGTCAGACTGAGCGACGAGAGGCACACGAATATTGTGTTCTGGCCCCACCACACCGACCTCACCACGGACGAGGCCAATGTTTCACCGATGCCATGAACAGCCGGAAGTTTCACCACGTGTACCTCGGCTGCAGAATGGAACACCAGCGGTCGTACGTCGCGAACGTTCTTTGCAAATGCGACACAGGGAGAGGCAAACACATCCGCATATCGTGAGTTAGGGGATGCCACGTAGCAGGGCATATGAGAGAACGCCAGCAGAAAAACGAATCATGTTTGCAGGTGCGACTCAGTGTTTCAAGCAAATGAGGGGCTGTTCCACGAACGGCGTTCGTGGAACAGCAGATTTTTTGGCGTGCAGCACGTTTGTCATCTTCCTCTGCTCCACTTGTCTGCTCTCCTCGTTCTTCTTGTACTCTTTGTGGGGGACCTGGTTAGTATAAGGCCCTTGGATCAGGCTCGCCTCCAGTCGCGGGATGAGTCAGCGTGCTTCGGCATGCTCGAGGTGTTGTGCCGGGAATAGTTGGCGCCCCCTTTCGAATGCCGTAACATGTTTTTGGCACTTGGCACTTGAAGGAGCCAAGGTGCTTTGGGACGCCACGCAGTCCGGCAATTCCAGGAGAGTGCCAGCACAGGGGCTGCCCATCCTGCTGCAACTGCTTACGAGGCCTCGTTGGTTGCGACACGGCACGCGTGCTGTAACTGACGGGGCACAGGCAAACCCGCTTCAGATTCGAACGGTTGCCTACCTACCGTTCCTGCTTCTTTGCCGTGTAATTTTCTCCCTTTACCGCTGCCGTCCTGGGGCACAGGACCCTGCAGCGATCCTGTGCTTGTGTTAAACTCGTTTTCATGTCTACTTTGCTCAGGTCATATATATATATATATATATATATATATATATATATATATATATATATATATATTTACCATCGCATCTGTTTTCATAATTTTCCTAGTTATCCTGCTCTTGTTCGTCGTCATCGTCCTCGTCGTCGTCGTCGGCGTCCTACTTTTCCTCCTTGTCCTCAGTTTCGGCCTCCTCCTCCTCTTCGTCCTCCCCCTCCTCCTCCTCGTTTGTATTATTGTCCTCATCGTTTTTTTTCTCCTCCTCGTCCCTCTTTCGCCTACTGAGATTCGGAGGCCGGCCAATTGCATCGTGACTGTGGCATGCCGCGGTCCAGTTGTGCTTCTCCTCCCGCCCAATCCGGGCAATAAGGGTACGGAAAGAATGGGGCCGAATTTTGTCAGTTGTTTCTGTCCGTTCTGAACAGGACTCGCTGTCGGCGTCGCCGCGGACGCTGTCTGTTTGGGACAGGGAGACGGGTGCCAAACGTCGGCCCCGGTGCTGATTCTGCAGCACTGGCCATGGAACATTCTATCTTTGCTTTTCGTACTCATATCGGTTGTTCGACTTTCTGTGCTGGACGCCCGCAGCCGTGCACCACCACGGGCCCGGCCAAGGCTTGCGGCGGTGGTGCACGCCCCCACTGGGGAGCGGAAGGGGGCGGCCGGAGCGCGGGGCCCCCAGCCCACATCAGCGCTCTCGGCTGCAGGGGCACGACGCGGCACTGCAGCCCCGCGCGCTGGTTTGCCTCAGCTGCTCCTGGCGGGGGAGGAGGAAATGGGAGGAGGAGGAGGAGGAAATTGGAGGAGGAGGAGGAGGAGAAGGAAATTGGAGGATGAGGAAAAGGAGGAGGAGGTGGAGGAGGAGGGGGGGAAGAGGGGGAGGAGGAGTGAATGATGATGCTGCTCATGCTGATTCTGATGGTGGTGATGCTGACGACGACGATGATGATGATGACGACGATGATGTTGATCATGCTGATGATGATGATGATGGTGGTGGTGGGGATCGTTGTGATGATGATGATGATGATGATGATGATGATGATGATGATGATGATAATGCTGATGATGATGATGGTCGTGAGTTTGACGATGATGCTGATTATGATGATGATGCTGCTGATGCTGACGACGACGAAAATGACGATGATGGCGATGGACGAAGATGATGATGCTGATGATGGTGGTGGTGGTGGCGGTGGTGATGATGATGCTGATGATGCTGATGATAATAATGATGATGGTGGTGGTGGTGGCGGTGGTGATGATGATGATGATGCTGATGCTGACGACGACAACTGTGATGAAGAGTGTTTATGATGATGCTGGCGACAACTTATTTATGATGACGATGCTGCTGATGATGATGATTATGATGTTTATTTTGATGGTTCAGTTGATGATGATGATGATGATGATGATGATGATGATGATGATGAATCTGATGATGATGATGATGATGGTGGTGGTGATGGTGATGATGCTGCTGATAATGATGATGCTGGTGATGCTGATGATGACGATGCTGATGATGCTGATGATGATGCTGATGATGATGATGATGATGATGCTGATGCTGATGCTGCTGCTGCTGATGATGATGATGATGATGCTGATTATGATGATGATGATGCTGATGCTGATGATGATGATGATGATGATGATGATGATGATGATGATGATGATGATGATGATGATGATGATGATGATGATGCTGATGCTGATGCTGCTGCTGCTGCTGATGATGATGATGAGGAGGAGGAGGAGGAGGAGGAGGAGGAGGAGGAGGAGGAGGTGGAGGGGAGGTGGAGGTGGAGGTGGAGGAGGAGAGGAGGAGGAGGAGGAGGAGGAGGAAAGGGAGGAGGATGAGGAGAAGGAGGAGGAGGTGGAGGAGGAGGAGGAGGAGGAGGAGGAGGAGGAGGAGGAAAGGGAGGAGTGGATGCAAGGGCATTGACGTCGAGCAGGACGTAGAACAAAGCAGGAGGAGTGGGTGAGGAGTGGGCGTGGCGGGATGTCACGACAACGCGGAGGAGGCACGGGGAGACGGGCGGGGGACAGCGCGGCGTCTTGCCAGGCTGGCCTCGCGGCGGACGAGGGCGCCGCGACCCAGCTGACTGCGCTGGGCCTTTGGCGCCCCGCCCGCCGCCCAGCGGCGGAGGAGGAGGAAGGCGCCTGGGGGGATTGCCGGAGGGCTGGGCTGGGGGAGGAGGAGGAGGAGGAGGAGGAGGTGGAGGAGGAGGAGGAGGAGGAGGAGGAATAAGCCCCCGACCCCCTTTGTGTTCAGACGAAGGGTGCTCGGCAGGACAGGCGGTTGCAGGACTACCTTCATCAACCGTTAGCAGCAGCAGGAGGAGGAGGAGGAGGAGGAGGAGGAGCAGGAGGAGGAGGGAGGGAGGGACGGACGGACGGACGGACGGATGGAAGGAGGGAGGGGAGGGAGAAGGGGGCGGAGGCGGAGGCGGAGGTGGAAGAGGAGGAGGAGGAGGCGGAGGAGAAGAAAGAGGAGGAGGAGGAGGAGGAGGAGGAGGAGGAGGAGGAGGAGTAGGAGGAGGAGGAGGAGAGATGAACACCGCAAGCCCAAAACATCTGTCAACGATGCTGCGCTACACCCTCGCCCCAAGTCCACTTCCCACTAGTCCCCACAGTCATTCTGTTCTGCTGCTCGAGGCGCCCCATGGCCCTCAATTACGTCAGGCCGGAGCTCCGCCTTGAAGGAACAACAATCAGAGGCTGATAGACCTCCTACCCTGACACGTCGATTAGCGAATTGGCCGTTTTCGGTTCGCGAGAGGGCGTCGCGGCCGTCGTTTTTTGCGGGTCCACGTCCGGCGGTTTCGGTCCTAGGCCGTTTTCACTAAAGGATGGTTTATTACAGGGCGGTTTGTCCACCGCCGATTGAATGGTTTCGCAACTCTAAAGTCATGGACACCAGATCGACCAACTTTGAAGGCGAGATTCAGACCCCCTCCATCAGTGTAGATCTTGCACAGTTGGATTTCTGGTCATACATGTTGAGGAAGTACCAAGAGCCGCCCCCCATTCGTGTAGCCTTTGTCGGCAGACCAGTGTGCGAGGATCCCGGGTGCGGGCATTTGAAACCGGCACGACCTGGATCCGTGCCTCTGTGTCTTCGTAGCGGCCTTCGGCCCATTCCGCCTCCGTGCCTGGGTTGTGGGTCTCAGTGATGTTTCTTGGGGTCTCTTCGGAGCTCTCTCGGGGGCCTGTTGGGGGCTGTTAGGGGACCTCTTGGGGGCCTCTTGGCTGCGTCTTGGGTCTTCTTGGGCCCTCTTGGGGGCCTCGTGGGGGCTCTTGGGGGCCGTCTTGGGGGCCTCTTGGGGGCCTCTTGGGGCCTCCTGCTCGGGTCCCCCATCTGGCCCCCCTCTTGGGGCTGTTTTTGGGCCTCATTGGAGCATCTTGGCAGTCTCTTGGGCCCTCTTGGGCCGTCTTGGGGGCCTCTGGGGCCGTCTTGTTGCGATCTTGGGGTCCTCGCGGGCCGTCTTGGAGCGTCGGGAGCCGAAAAGGCGAGAACGCCCAGATCCTCCAAGCACCTACGGACAAACAAAAATGATGTTGCCTCTAATGGCAATTTTAGGAGGCCTCTTGGAGGCCTCTGGGGGTGTCTTTGAGGCCTCTTGGACCGTCCAGCAGCCGTCTCGGCGATCTTTCGGCGACTCGGAGCCCTCTTGGACCATCTTGGGGGTCTCTTGGTGCTCTCTTGGCCCGTCTTGGAGCCATCCTCTGTTCCGAAATTCATGCGATAAGCCGCGGGACACCGCGACCAGCCCCCACCAGACGCGATAACCCCCAGGAGATTTGAGAATTTGCGGTCCGGGCCCCGCAGGAGTAAGGATTGAGGCTTCGAGGATGCGGGAAAGGACCTGAGGACGCGCCCACTCCGTCCCTACAGGCATGATGGCGAATGACGACTTTCAAACATGAGAGCGCGGCGACAGCGCGAAACCCGCCTTTTGATTCGTCCGCTCCCCATTCGTGTAGTTCGGTAGGTTTCGTTTTTTAGGACGAGGGTGCGCGGCGCCAACGCGAGAGCCCCGTTTTGGACACGGTTCGCCCTCTGTTCGTGTAGCTGCTGGAATTTCGCAGAGGTTGAGGAAGTCTTGGGCGAAACTCCTGGCCCGCCCAGGCGACACTTCTTGGTGGCGCGACAGGGAGAAGTTGTTTGTAAGGAAGAAGGGTGCGTGAGGAGGAGGATGAGGAGGAGCAGGAGGAGGAGGAGGAGGAGGAGGAGGAGGAGGGGAGAGGAGAGGGGAGGAAGGAAAAGGAGGGAGGAGAGGGAGGAGGAGGAGGAGAGGAATGAGGAGGATGATGATGAGGATGAGGATGAGGATAAGAAGGAGGAGGAGCAGGAGGAGCAGGAGGAGGAGGAGGAGGAGGAGGAGAGGAGGAGGAAAAGGAGGAGGAGAGGAGGAGGAGGAGGAGGAGGAGGAGGAGGAGGAGGAGGACGAGGAGGAGGAGGAGGAGGAGGGGGAGGGGGAGGGGGAGGGGGGAGGGGAGGGAGGGGAGGGGAGGGGAGGGGAGGGGAGGGAGAGGGGGAGGGGAGGGGGAGGGGAGGGGAGGGGGAGGGGGAGGGTGGACGGGACATTCAAGAGTGTGTGGCGTGAGCTTTTCGTCGCCCGCAGGCGGTCTTTGGGGTTTCTGGATGCTTCTGGAGGTCCTCGAAGGTTCCCGGCGGTCCCCGGCGGCTGCATGCAGTTGGACGTGGAGGGAAGGAAGAGGAACCTTCCGAACTCTTCGTCGTCGTCTTTCTCGTTTCCTATCGCCGCTGTATTTCTGAGCCCTGCTCCTTGGACCCTCCTGCTCAACCCCTTCATCTGTGTTCTTCCTCAATTCTCCTCTTCAACGTTCTTCTGTCGACCTTCGCACCGCCTGCTATTTTTCAACCGTCTTCCTCAACCCCTCCCTCGTCGTCAAACCTTTTCCCCTCGAATCTCTTATCCAACTTCGGGGTGGCAGGAGGCGGAAGAACCGGAGGAGAGGGAGGCGGAGGAAAATCCACATGCGCATTTTATTGCGGCTGCCTGCTGGTTGGTTGGTTGATTGAGTTTGCGTTGCAGAGCCTTTGGCATCAGGCACGCGTGGGTCGCCCAGGGACGGGGCGGCCATCTACGTGGTGCCATGGGTGCTGCGCGCGGCGGACGCCTGCCCAGCTGGGGGCGCAGGCGCACGCGGCAGGGATCGACCTAACCGAGCGCGGCCGCTATGCGGGCGCGCGCGTTTGCTCAGTTGTCGTTCCATGCTCTCCGCTCGACCTTGTTCCCCAGGCCATTGAGAGGGCAATTCAGGTCAATCGGGGGTTGGTTGGGGCGCCAAAGTCAGCCGCAAAATCACTCATTTGAAGCATCTGTTTCACCGTGTACTTTCGTTCCGACGCGGGGCCCGCCCCAGGCATTCACTGGAGCTCAGAAGAACGGGGTGTCTGTTCGCGTGCAAAAGTCTGTCTGGCTCTCTGAGCGCGCCGCCCCGGCCGCCGTCGAGGCTCGGCCCCAGACCTCTGCGCCCGCGCGGATCTCGCGCCCGCGCCGTTGCACTCCCGCCCCATCGCCTCCGCCAGCGCAATGGCGGACGCGCGCGTGGGGGTGCAGCTGCTCCAGCTGCAGATCGAGCAGGGCGTTGATTACGCGTCGTACCTGCAGCTCACGGGAAAAAAATGTCTTCTGGAGGAACCAGGCGCTGGTGGCACTGGCGAGTGGATATTCCAGTTCAGTTGGGACCAGGGGCCGCCTGTCGCGCGATTGACTCGCGCGATCGGTCCGCCCGATCGATCGACTTGACCGCCGATCTTGTTCGTCGCGGGGACGTGATATCCGATCCATATGCGACGCCTCTGAGACGGCGCACTAGGTCAGTCGGGTCGCGAGATCCGGGCGATCGGCCGCTGGGCCCGATGCGCTCGACGTCCCCATCGATCTGGCCCCGGCGCGCCGCCTCCCATCTCAGCGGTGGGCGTTGAGGTTCCTGACGACCCGCTGCGAGTGGTCGCAGAGTTCTTCAAGCCGAGCGCAGACGGCATGAGGCTCGGCATCTCACTTGTCCCTTCCCCTTGCTCGCGGGCGCCGACAGTGGCCCGGCGCCGAGGGGCGCGGTCATGAATATGCGTGTGATGCACGTGCGCGCGCAGTACACATGACAAGTGTATATATATATATATATATCCATATATATATATATATATATATATATATATACCACAGCATATCACATGCACGTATGGACATGGTTCGACCGATGAATACGCGCGCGGCTGGCGTCTCCCGCCCCCCCCCCCCCCCACAGGTGCTGCCGCGCCGCGCAGGACATTGGTTGCGCGACCACATATGGTCGACGGGCAAGGCTTCTCCGCGCGCCCGCCCGCCGGCCGCGACCTGGTCCGCGCGAAGTTCAAGGCGCGGGCGCTGCGCGCGGCCATGACTCGCGTCGCCGAGGACTCGTGGGACGCGCGGGTGAAGCTGGCCGAGGCCATGGGCAAGCATTCCCTGGCCTGGGCGTCGATCGCGCAGTTCCGGGGGGCGGGCGCCGAGCTCGCAGGCGACGACGCCGACGGCGACCGCCAGCTGGAGGGGCTGGCTGAGCGCGCGGCGGCGCCCGCGCTGGAGCGAGGTCGGCGGCGGCAGCTAGCGGGGGCCTGGCTGCGGGAGAGGGCGCCTAACTCAGGGGTTGAGCTGTAGTTAGGGCGATGGATGCTCATTCTGAATGCACATGTTTGTCTCTGCTGGGCCTGCGAGCGTCTGCCGCGATTGCCGCCGCCGCTTCAGGGTTGCTTGCCGCCGCTGCTTCGGGAAAAATGGGAGTGCGAGCGTCAGCTTGAATGGGCTCGGTCGTTTCCTTGCCAGGGTCTCTCCGCCCATCTGCCACTCAGTCCATCGCGCTGTTACCTCGGGCGCGACGGGGCCTCGGTGGACTCAGCGAGGCCTCTACTGCAGGCGTTCCTATCGCGGACGGGCGGGGCGCCCCGTCGGTCGACCGCGCGCGCGCTCGCCGCCCATGGGTTGGGCGCAGAGCCCCCGCGTGCCGACCCATGGGCGGGGGGGGGATGATGCGATTCATTTTGGGCGCTTGAGTGCGGGCTAGTCGCGGGGCGCCGCCCATGGGTTGGACGCGGAGTGCGCCGCGTGTCCAACGCGTGGGCGGGGGAAAGATGACTTGGCATGATTAGGCATCTGGGCGCGGGCTAGTCGCGGACCGCCGCCCATGAGTCGGGCGCGGGGCTCGCAGCGTTTTCGATTCTCGGGGCGGTGCAAACGCTCGAGTGTTTTTAGCAAATGGGCAAGCGTCATTCATGGGCCGCCGCCCATGGGCTGGACACGGAGCGCCGCGCGCGTCCAACCCATGGGCGGGGGAGATCTCTGGGCATTTACGCGGGGCCGTCGCAGCCAGGGTTGCGCTCGCTGAATTCCGGCAGGGGGCGCGGCGCAGCAATGCCGGCGCTGCGCTGGCCAGCGGCTGCCTCGGCTGGATGCCGCGTTGGCCGGTGGCCACCAGAGCTCCACGCGGCCGTTCAGGCGGAGATCGGCATCTGGCAGGCCCGCGCTAACAGCGGGGACATGCCGGCAGAGTTGCGCCCAGACGGAGGGTGGGCATGCCCGATGTGCGCCGTGAAAGAGTTCCCCAGTGACAGGAGATCTCGCCTGGTGGTGCACATGCAAACTCAGCGTGCCAGGCAGGTGGGCGGCGTCGCTAGTCTCAAGCAGAGGCGCGCGATATCCGCGCGGCGTGCTCAGCCGGCGCCCGCCGGGGCCGCGTCGGGCCCAGTCTTTGCCAGGCCCGACCGATCGGCCGCGCGATCGATGATTGGCCGCTGACCGAACGCACCGCAGATCTCCCGTGCCAACTCCGATCAGAGGCGCGATCGCCCGATGCGAGCAGGGTCGGTGATCGCTGGGCTTCGGCTTGATCGCTCAGGCTGTGGAATGTCAAGACTATAGATATCTTGGCACAAGCAGTGCTTCGCGGCGTCGAGCGCCCCGCGAGCTGCAACGGCACGTTCCTGCGCGAGTCGGCGCGCGTCATTCGCCTCGGTCTGGAGAGGGGCCCCTCTTGGTTGAAGGAGAAGGACGCGCTGGCTACGTCGTCTGGCGGTGGGCTCGACAGGGGCCTCGAGCTTCTCCTCGACGTTGACGGAGATACTAGATACATCTTGCGCTGCGACGAGAAACGCTACCACCGCGTGAGCTCGCAGTTCCTGCGCGCGGATGCCTTCTGCTCAACTTCTCGGCGGTGCTCCTGCACCCGACCGCGATGGGCGCGAGCGACCGCGTGCTCGCAGCGCTTGGCGACGGGGCCGGATGGGCCCGCTACCTGATCCCATCCAAGCGAGCTATCTTCCACACGATGGCAGAGGACGGGTTGCGTCATCCAGTCGCGCGGAGGGTTCGTGAGGTCTGTCGCCACGTGGCAGATAAAGCCGTCATCGGCACCGACGGGCAGAACAGCACCCTTCTCTCTGTGCTCTACCAGCAGAAGCACGGGCACAGGACCCAAGGGGGCTCCAGGAAATCCGGCCTGCACGCGCAGCTCTCAGTGCAATGCCCAGGCGATGCGGGGTCCAACCAAGCTAGATGCAAGATGGCATGGCCCCGCTGCAAGCTCGGTTCGCTTTGGGGCGTCGCGTGCCTCGAATCATTCTTGAACGGGTTTAGGAGCCAGTGCCAAAAACATTCCACTTTCGTTTTTCCGTGGTGCTAATTTGTCTTTAGCTTTGTGTGCTTTGTATATTCGTCGAGGCAGCTTGCTGCTCGTGAAGCCGCACTTCTCGGAGTCGGCGCCGAACGTGATCTCTGCGCTCTCGGAAGCAGTCGGCGCAGACGGGCGCGATCAGGTCCGCTTGGTGTGCTCGGACTCTCCAGAGGTTCTGCGCCCCGTCGTTCGGGATCACCTTCCGCGGGTGCTATGCGTCGCGAAGGGCCCGCTGTGCGTGGCTCTGAAGGTGGAGAGCGAAGACAATGGGGGAGTGACCCCGTTGTCTCGCATCCTGCGCAAGTGCCTTCGGAAGTTCCTGATCGGGGGCGACGACGGCAATTCGTCTTTCCGCAGGAATCGCCGAATGGTGGACATCCCGTCGCTGGGGGTCGCCATCGGCGCCATGGCGCCCGGCCGCGAGAGAGCTGCGCTGAAGCGCATAGAGGGCGATGCGTACCTGGACAAGCCGCACGCAGGGGCATCCCACTTCTTGGAGGACGTGGCCGCCGCGTGCAAGGAGCACCCGGCCGAATTGAACCGCAAGACCAACGGCGGCTCAGAGGCGCTGCCCACGGCAACAGCTGCGTTTCTGACGATGGGGGGGAGGGCGCGTCGGCGGCTGGCCGCCGCCCGGGCAGCCAGGGGGGCGGCTGGTTTCCGGCGCGCCTCCCTGTCAGAGGGGCGACTTTTGCCGTTGGCCGCGGCGGGCGCGCGCCAGTCTGGCATTTGCGACGTCGCCGCGGCAGGTCGAGTACCTCCTCAACCTGTCGCGGTTTGCCGCCAGGCACCCCGAGGTCGACGCCCCTTGCGGCGCCGCGCGCAACGAGGCCGCGCACAATCTGTTGAAGAGATGCTACAGGAACGTGATCGCGCAGTCTGGGCGCAACGCCCAGATGGTTGCTTCCGCGCGCGGCCCTCGGCGGCCCGCCTGCGCTCGCGCGCGAGATCGCGCGATTCTTGTCTTGTTTCCTACCTCGGCTCTGCCTAGAAGGGCTCTGACTCTCTTAGCTTAAAGGGGCCGGGCAGTGCAAAGCGCCCTGGGCGGTTCCCCCAGCCCCCTGGGGGCGGTTCCCCCCAGTCCCCTGGGAGCTTTAGCTTTAGCTTAGCTTTAGCTTTAGCTTTAGCTTAGCTTTAGCTTAGTTTTAGCTTAGCTTTCGCTTAGCTTTAGCCTAGCTTTCGCTTAGCTTTAGCTTAGGTTTAGCTTAGCTTTAGCTTAGCTTTTCGCTTAGTTTTAGCTTAGCTTTAGCTTAGCTGTGGCTTAGCTTTAGCTTAGCTTTAGCTTAGCTTTAGCTTTAGCTTAGCGTTACTGTTACTACTAATGCTGCTTTTCTAGGGGTTCCAACTCCTAGGTAGGGTCGCACTGGGATGATGTATTGTTTTGGTCGTGCTCGATGGTCATTGCCCGTCAAGCTACCGTTCCGCAGCTGCAGGTGCACGACCGCGAAGTCGCCGGCGGGCTGGATGCGGCGCATCCCGAACCTCGCCGACGCGTCTCGGGAGGAGCGCGAGATTCTGCGTTTTGCTCTCAGCAGCATCGCAGCAAGCCCGCAAGAGGTGACCATCCGGCCGCTGTTGCGCGGCAAGACCCGCTATAATCCCAGCGTTGATTTGAGCGCCCCCCCACCGGGGGCCAGGGGGCTTCGGCGATATGAATGAGGTGCATGCCGCGCGTCCCGTGCTCGACCGAGGGCGACAGAGCTGCGCCGCTATGTTTAGTGGCAGCGGAGCGGGGGGGTCGACCGCTGTCAAGAAGGCATTTATGCTTCCTGGCCTGACCTTCGACCTCCAGGAAGGGCGGGCGAGCGGGGCCCGCTAGAATCCCAGTGTTGATTTGAGTGCCCTCCCACCGGGGGCCAAGAGGCTTCGGCGATATGAGTGAGGTGCATGTCCGCGTCCCGTGCTCGGCCGTGGGTGACAGAGCTGCGCCGCAATGTTTAGTGGCATCGGAGCGGAGGGGTCGACCGCTGTGAAAGGGTATTCTTTCTGGCCTGACCTTCGACCTCCAGGAAGGGCGGGTGAACGGGGGTGTTCGCTTTGACGCTGCAGTCGGGGCTCATGCCAAGAAACACACCGATTCCTTTCAGGGCGCCCAGGGTTTCCAGGGTTTCCACGGATTTGACGAGGGAGACGTTTCCAGGGCTGGGCGCCAGGGCCACGAAACCTGTGACGCTACCAAAACAACACAAAACAACGTTGTGACACTATAAGGAAAAAGAGCAACAATAACAGGTTTTCGGATCTCGCACTCCTGGGGGGCCGCCTGGGGTCCGGGGCCGGGGTGGACAGGGACCGAAAACCTTTGATTTCATTTGTTCTCCAATGACAGTCACAGGCTTCCTTGTCTTAGGGCCGCGAAACCTGTGGCACTACCGAGAAAAAAAACAACGACAACATGTGACACGACCAAAAACAATCAAAGGTTTTCGGACCTCGCACTCCTGGCGGGCCCTCCTGGAGTCCGGAGCCGGAATGGGCGAGGGCCGAAAACTTTTGATGTTTTATTTCTTCTGGTAGTGTCACAGTTGTTTTTTGTTTTGTTTGGTCGTGTCACAGGTTTCGTGGCTCCAAGACGCGTTTCTATATATATATATATATAAGGGTTTCAGCAATCGCACTCCTGGGCCCCCCCCCGCCTACCCAGGCCCCAGACAATAGCGGAACCAAGAGTCCACAAGACAATAGGGGAACCAAGAGGACAAATGACAATGAGGAAACAAAGAGGACAAGAGACAATGGGGAAGCCAAGAGGACAAGGGACAATGGGGGAACCAAGAGGACACTTGAGAACATTTTACAGCCACGCCAACATCCTTGCTAGAGGACAAGAGAGAACATCTTCCAGCCACGTCAACATCATCGTTAACGTCTGCATCAGCATCTACATCAGCATATTCGCAAACGCCTGCGTCAACGTCTTAAATCGGATGACAGTTGTAAGGAAGCACCTCGCGCCACATGCTCTTGCAGTCCCCCTTACGGAAGGGGAAGGGGGAGGGGGAGGGGGGGGGAATGGGGGGGTGGGGAAGGGGATGGGGGGGAGGTGGAGGAGGAGGAGGAACAGGAGGAACAGGAGGAGGAGGAGGAGGACGAGGACGATGAGGAGGAAGAGGAGCAGGAAGAGGAGGATGGGGCTGGTGCTGGTGGGGTTGTGATGAGGGTGGTGGTGGTGGTGGTGGTGGTGGTGGGTGGTGGTGGTGGTGGTGGTGGTGGTGGTGGTGGGCGCACGCAGGGGGGGGGCGGATGGGCGCGCGAGAAAGAGGCCCGCGCTGGGGCGAGAACGCCATCCTGAACGACGGAGGCCAAACACCGATCCGAAAATGAGGCCCACGCTGCAGCGGGAGCACGATTCGGAACGATTCGGGAGCAGAAATGAGGCCAACGCCTCAGCGAGAGCAGTATGTTTGGAAAAAACGCAGGCGAAAGCCCAACTCCCGGGAATCCTGTGTGTAAAAAACAGTACGCGGGGGGGGTCTAATAGTTTCAGGCCGCCATCGGGGGAAGAGGGACAGTAGCTTTCATATTGAGTAATTGTGGATGGGGAGGAGGAGGGGGAGGAGGGGGAGGAAGGGAGGAAGGGGAGGAGGGGGAGGAGGGGCAGGAGGGGGAGGAGGGAGAGGAGGGGGAGGAGGGGGAGGGGGGGGAGGAGGAACGTTGTGGAACGTTTAGGCCACTCCCAAGGCCCGAAGCATGCCTGCTTAAGGTGAAGCGCCGCCACCTGTGCTAGAATATGATGCCCCTAAGCCACATGGCTATGCACCACCCAAACAGGAGGCAACCCTCGGACGACGGGTACTACTCTCCTCTCCCAGCCGTCCACAGTCGCAGCTGCAGGCAGTGCCCCGTCGGGCATTATCACAACTAGAACGCTCGGCCGCGTGGAGATGCAACGTGGCACACAAACGCTGCGCATGAGCACCGCCGACTGAGTGCCCGAAAGTGGTCGTCAACATTTTCAAACCCTTTGACGCCACATGTTGGCCCATCGGTAGCAAACTGCACTTCCGGCGACCGCGGGCCCGGTCCCAGGGCGGATTCGGCCCCACGGTGTACACCAGGGGTCTCAGGCTTGGGCTTCTTGCGGAAGGCTTCTCGTGGTCGGGCCCTTACATTGTAACGACGAGGGGCGGGTGGGCATCCCAGATCTCTCGCCTGGCACTTCCTCGCGTGGCAGGCGCATGGAAGCAGTGCTCATTGACTGCTTTGGGACACTGCTGCGTCCTGGACTCGCCGCGCACGGGCACGAAGGACGCCCTTTGGGGGCGCCCTCGCGCCAGGGAACCAACCCCTTTCGAATCCGAGAAAGGTTTGCCGACGAGGAGGAGGAGGAGGAGGAGGAGGAGGAGGAGGAAAGGTTTGCCGAGGAGGAGGAGGACGAGGAGGAGGAGGAGAAGGAGGAGGAGGAGGAAGGTGGAGGACCAGGGTAAGCCCACGAGTCATCGACGATGTTGGAATGAACCCTCCCTCCAAGCTTCCTCTTCATAGGCCCCATACATCGGTTCATTGCCATTGAAGGAGCTTCCCCTTTGGAAGACAACCGTTTGAAGACCCCGAAGCATACCAAAACATAGTTCTCGGGATTCCAACGCCACAGATCAACCCGACTGTTGCGTCTTGACGATCCTGAATCGTGCCAGAACACCATTTGTGGGACTTCAACACAGCGAATCAACATAACTGCTGCACCCGCATAATCCTGAATCTTTTCAGAACGCAATGTCTGACAAGTTGACGATGGGAATCCGCGAAACTCTCGCACCTGTTCGAGACGAGGGTGCGCCGCACAAAGGCGAGAGCTACATGTTGAAGGAACCGCCCTCAATCGGTGAAGCTCTTGAACTTTTGTTAGAACGAATGTGCGCCGGCGCTGAGGCGAGAGCTACATTTTGAAAAGGAACCGCCCTCAATTCGTGAAGCGCTTGCAATGTTGTGTAAACGAATGTGCGTCGCGCTATGGCGAGAGCTACGTTTTGAAAAGGAACCGCCCTCAATCCGTGAAGCGCTTGCATTTTTGTTGGAACGAATGTGCGCCGCGCTAAGGCGAGAGCCACATGTTGAAAACCACCCGCCCTCAATCCGTGAAGTGCCTGCAAATTATGTCGGAGCGCCAGCAGCGCCATTCGAAGCTCTCGTCCACCCCCAGCTGCTGGCGCGCGCCTCCGCCGTGCTGCCACGAAGCGACGCAGTGGCATGGCAGTTCGCTGGCCAGCGTTGGGCCCGTGCCTTCTGTCAAGCTTCCCAGGAGGGTGCACCGATCTGTCCTGCTCGCCGTCCTCGATCCCGCCCGCAGCCGTGGGGCTCGAGGGCGCGCCGGGCCTCGCCGCGCGTCTGCGGCGACCGTGCCGCGCCTTCCTCCGAGAGCCAGCGCGCCCAGTCGCGTGCTGCCTCCCCGTCCTCGCCCGACCGGGCGGGGGGGTGGGGCGCACCGGGGGTCCACGAGGGGCCGTGGTCCCAGACCCCCGACGTCATGATTTTTTCATGACGCGACCCCCAGAGGTCCCGACCCATTCCCCGGGACCGGTTTTTCGTCCTGAGTCGTTTTTTGACGCTCCCGAGGCCCGGCGA